TCTCTTCAACAAAGTGCTTCCTCTCTTGATCAAGGTGCTTCCTCTCTTCTTCAAAGTACTTCCTCTCTTGATCAAGGTGCTTCCTCTCTTCATCAAGATGCTTCCTCACTCCATTATGCAGCTGCTTCTTTTCTTCATCAATTCCTCTTCACCCTGGAGCTCCTCAGCTTTATATCATTTTAATTGGATTTTTTGAAATCCACCTGCAGTAGGATAAAGGAGATGTAACTCACGACTAAGAACCTGGCCATATGCTCCATTCCAGGCCAAAACAGATTGCATAGCCACAAACAGATTGAAATACCAATCCTGTTGCTGCATGGGGCGTCCATATTCCATTTGGAAGACTTGCATCATCACATTTGGATCTGTAAGGACTTTGTCGTTGACAAAATTGGGCCTTGCAGGAGGAACTCCATTTGCTACAATGTATCTGGAAGCAAGAGGTTTGTTCATATCCAATGGATAGATTCCTGTTGCTTTAAAAGCATTTTCGATGTTTGTAGCTGTGCAAGACACACTACATGCATCAAGGAAGCTGCGAACCATGATATAGCGCAGTTCTCTGGCGTTCCATACATAATTGATCACCATATGCCCTTGCTGATCGTACCGGATAGTCGCCATATCAAACAATTTCTTGAATTGGGCCTTCAAGGGAGAAAAAATCCCAACATCAAGAGGTTGTAAGATATGAGATGTATGGCCTGGGAGAACAAGAAGCTCGATATTGAAGGCGCTCAAGAGGCGAACGGCCAAGAAAGAGAGCCTGGATGGATGACCATCTACAATTAGGAGAAAATGTACCTGGGCATCAAACACATTCATTTGAGACCTTTTCTCCAGTTAGTATCTAGTAATTAGGTACCAAGGGTCTACGCCCCTTAGTACTCAAATTACTAGAATCTGCAAAAAACCGTTTGACACATAAAATATTTTGACATTTACAAAAATAAAAAATATTTTTTAAAAAAATTAACTTTAAAAATTAACGTTAAAATTTTTGACACTTCACAAAATAAAAAATAAACTTAAAAATTAACGTTAAAATTTTTGACACTTCACAAAATAAAAAAAATAATTTTTTTAAAATAAACTTAAAAATTAACGTTAAAATTTTTTATTTATTTTTTTTATCATAGATTTTAACACCCAGAGTAAAAAAATAAACTTAAAAATAAATTAACTCAAAAATTTTTTAATTTCTGTATATACTAAATTTTTCATAAATGATAAAATTAATTTTAGGGTAGAAGGTTAGATCTAACCCGATATCTAACCTCTTTTCTACCCTCATAAATTTACACCAAAAATATATTTAGGGTAGAAGGTTAGATCTAACCCGATTTCTAACCTCTTTTCTACCCTCATAAATTTACACCAAAAATATATTTAGGGTAGAAGGTTAGATCTAACCCGATTTCTAACCTCTTTTCTAACCCTGTGAATTTTCAACAGTAAATATGCTGGCATGATTCAGGAATGTCATCGCTGCTGTCTTCAAACTCTTTTATAGATTCATACCATAAACGAGCTTCACGGGAGATGAGAAGTAATGAAACGATAATTAATAATTTATTAGTAAAATTCATTTTATATAAAAATAAAATTTATTATTTCATGAGGACTCTTTGAGTCCATCTGGCCGCTAAGCGGCTTCATCTGATTTTTCGAATTCTTCTAACTTCTTCTTCAGTTCTGCTATATTATCTTCATATAATTTAATCTTTCTCAAAATACCATTTTTATCTAATGGCTGCTTAATTTTTCTAAATTGAACTCTACCATCTTTCATTTGATGAACATAAAAACCTTCTGGAACAGTTCCTGATTTAATGTATTCAACTAAAAACTTTTGTTTTGTTGCTTCAGTAATTTTAGTACTCATTTTATTAAAAGTAAAAAATAAAAAATATTTTTAAAATTAACTTTATTTTTTATGAGGACTCTCTGAGTCCATCTGAGCCGCTTAGCGGCTTCGTCGTCTTTTCCTTAATTCCTGCGGATCAACTAGGTCGGTTGAAGGTCTTTGACTTTCTTTATAGTGCTTATAGAGTGTATAAGCCGCCATATGATAAGGATAATTAAATCATAAATACGCTTTACCTAAAGTTTTCAATCGATTATATAAATCATTATTGTTAGGCGTTTCAGGTGGTGCAGGGTATTCGAGAACATCTCTAACCATTTAATTACTTTCAAACTCTTGGTTTCTTTTTAGTTTTTAACAGTTTCTTTGCTTTTGCGATTTTAGCTAAAATATATCTTCGACCGTAATGGAACCAATTCGAACCTCCTGTTTTAGGGTCAAAAGGTCTTCCATAACCGCCAGGGTCATATGGTGCGACCGCAATTACTGGTGATGGCGCAGGTGCTGAATTAATCGGCGGTGCCTCAATTGGTGGCTGTTTCTCCTTTTCTTTAAGTGAATTTAATTTAAACTCTTCACCATTCAGCTGACCTTTAAAATCTTTTAACTGCTTAGATATTTCATTATCTTCACCTAAAAGGTTCTGCGACTGGTCAGCGACCCAGTTACCTAATTTCTTTAACTTTTCAGATTTTAATTTTTTGGCAGCAGCTCCCACAAGCATTCCAGCATTATTTTTTAAAGCTTTTGATACAGCTCCACCAGTTAAACCGTCAATAGCTTTATAACCTCCATACAAAGCTGATAGTGTTGAAAATACCATTTAATGCTTATTAAAATCATTTCTCATAATGATTAACTCATAAAATTTTTCATCGGAGCTAAACGTTAATGAAACTCTGACTTTTTCACCACTGAACCTCTTTATTAGTTCATTAATTCTATCAATTATATTAGCACACTCACTTACATCATCAATGATAGTAATATCATCACAAATTATTTTTACATTTAACGACGTCATTTATTACAAATTAATTTCTTCTATTCTTTAAATAATTAATAAAAGACCTAATACGTGTGGGGTTGCTTCCTTCCTTTCTGTGTCGTGCTTGCTTGAATCGGTGTAGATTTTTTCAGACCTGTTGGAATAAGATCAGCCCCGGCAGTTGAATTAATCGGTGTTCTATATAAATTTCTATATAAATATGGTCCCGCTACAGCACCAGCAGCTAATAAAAGACCTACAGGAATTACAATTCTATTATAATTCCGCGGTTTAGGATCTTCATCAAAACTAGCCCATGCGCTTTCAGTCGTTGAACTCATTTATATATAATTAAATTTTAATAAGCGATTAATATGAGTTCGATAATAATACTATCTTTTCTGTCATCAGGAAGGACAATATCTTTTAGGCTCGATGGTTCAACTAATTTTATATTAAATTTATTAACATAATTAGTTATTGAATAATGCTTCGGCGGAGAATATAAACAGTTTGATAAACATAAAATTGAATCTTCTGCGAACTCACTTATACTCGATTTAATTATTACTGCTTCTCTGGACCAAACACCATTAAATGAAATTGATGTTAATAAATAATCATCATTTTTAATGGAAATTGATTTTGGTAAGTACTCCAGGAGGTCATTTAATGTTATCTGTTCTGCTCCGAACTGAGCAAATCGATAAAAGCATTCATCATTATTAATTCCTGTAATCTCTTGAAAATTTTTATTCGTGTATATATTTTCAATCTCATCACCGACAGCACCATCTTTTAAATCAAATATGAAACCAGCTTTTGAATTTGAATTAACACGAAATTCTATTGAATTAGTTTCAAAACTATAAAACATATCAACTTCATTAGGTTGAGGATATCCGGCACCTTTTAACTGTTCAATAAGAACCGATTTAATCTTTTTATTAAATGCTGTCATATCATCTCCTGTGTCTAAATCTATATAAATCTGTAAATCATATTGATGATTATCTCTTATTATTCCAAAGTTATATAATTCAATGGTTCGTCCTGCAGGAATGGTTTTTATCTGTCTTATTTCAATTGCTTTTTCGCCAGTGTTATAATCAACCCAGTGTTTAGGGTATTCATAAATGTATTCACCATTGATTATTTTAAACGGTTGTGAAAATATGTGCTCATAATAGATTTTAATACTTTTATCATTAAGACTGGGAACGGTATTAACAAAATTTCTGACTTGCATTTTTAATTATAATAAAATGAAACATTTATTTGAAGAAGTAGATGAAAAAATGAATGAAAAATCTGATAAACTCAATAGTTCATTAATTCTTCCCTTCAGTAAGGATTATCAGTTCTGTTCAAACGGTGTGTATTTCTATTGCGGAAAAATGGGTTCGGAAAGACTTTTAATTTAATTCGTCATATTTTAATTACTGAACGTTAGGTCAAGATTCATATTATGACCAAATCATTATATCAGCAACTTCAGATTCAATGGATTCAACAGCGAAGACGTTTATGGTAAAGTTCAGGCATCAGTAATTAAAGTTCCAGATAGCGAATTAATTTCTTTTCTTCAACAATATAAGAAGAAAGAAGAAATATTATGCAATAGTTGAATTTATACAATCAGGAATGCAAAAGACCTCGGAAGAAATGGAAAGAATTATTGATAAACATCATTTGAGACAGCAGGATGGTACGTATGATATGAAACGATTGACAAACTACATTCTCTCAAACTTTCAAAATATCCTTTTAAAAAATATCCATCAAACACTTTATTAGTTTGTGATGATTTCGCTGGTAAAGGTTTAGTTTCAAAACCAGATTCACCATTAGCTAATTTAATTACTAAAGTCAGACATTATCACATGACTGTTGCAATACTTATGCAAACGTGGAGGTTTTTAGCTTAAACATAAAACGTTTAATTACTGATTTCGTTATATTTCAAGGTTTCTCAAAATACGATATAGAATTAATTTGGAAGCAATCAGGTATAACATTACCTTTTGATGAAATCTGGGATGCTTATAAATCACTCATTTCACCACGTTCATATTTAGAAATTCATATAATGACTAATACAATTAATGTTAAAAATATACCTTGGGAAAGACCAACATTATTTTAAAGCTTTATTTTTAGATGAGGTGTAGTGAATAGATTCCATCCATCTCTATCACCATTTCTGTTTATATTTTTGGTGTCATTCATGTCCACACTTTCTGGATCAGTCAGTTTTTGAGGATAAAGATTAGAATAACTGTTTTTAATCGATGGTGCTTCACCTTTTAACGCATAAACTCTATTACTTTCTGCATATTTAATGTTTGAACCACCAGATCCATCATTTACGTAAATAGTAAATGGTTTATAATCGATGTTCATATTTCGACTTCTGCCTTTTGTTCTTATTTAACTCAACATCTTTATAAACTGCGCCCGTTTCAGTGAATTCAACAAGATTTTCATTTTCAAGTTTCACGTTTAAACCTTTATCAAAGATATTATTCATTTTTATAGTAATAAAAGGTTTTTATTCTCTAGAAAATGAGAAGTAAATCCATCTTAGCCGGTGCGGTGAATGTTCCAATCGAACCTACATCTAATGTTGATTCAAGAACGACAAATAATATTATAATCAAAAATTACAGTTCGGAAACTTGAAAGATAAAGAGCCAGCTAAATCCGTTAATTTAAACACAGCTTCAAACCAAACGCTAACAGTGAAGTTAAGTTAGAATATCCACCTCCATTAGAACCATAATCGTGAAGCTCAAGAAGAACTCAAAGGGTTCTCGGGCTCATTGAGCCCTAATCCTTATTCAACTATTCAAACAAATCCTTCAGATAACGTAGACCATTACCTCCTTAATTTATACCAAACAATTTTACTCAAAGACGATAAGAAGCTTTTGACAAATCTTATTAGTAAGAATCAAATAATTTTAACAAAGGAGGATTTAGAAAATATTATATCAAGAATAACAGGGAAACAGTGCTGCGGTCAGATGCCGGTATTTATGAAAATAGGTAGTATTAGAATAATCGAAACACCAGGAACTACAGGAGTTGAGTTTAAGTATAAATATTCGAATGAATACACAAAACTTTCAACAGAATATAAACTTTGCTTGAAATATGCTTTAACGAATTAGATCGGTCAGTCAGTCAGTCAAAAAAATTCGGCTTAAGTCAAAAGTTTATAATATCTATCTAAAACTTCTTCTACATTATCAAACTCATCTTCATAATGTAAGCCTAATTTAATCGATTTAGTACAGTTTTCAGAAACACAATAAACATTTGTTTTCTTCACCGACATAACTAATTCATTTGTATCATCAAACAATAATAACCATTGTTCATTATCCAGTATATATAATTCATACTTTATATTTTTAGATCTGAGTTCTCTGATAAGCTGTCGCATTTAATATTTTCTAAAAAATCAACTTCTATAGTCATTTGAACAGGAGCTTTAATTTCAATTGGTTCGCCTTGAAAATCAACTAATCTAAATGTCATATCTTTTAAATGGTGTGGTTGAATTCGAACCCATTTTCCTTCGTGCCTTAATAAAATCGGAAAATTAGGCATGAATACAGAATTAACGGCGTAACAGAACGATTTATATTCTATAACAGAATTTTTATTATTAACTCCTGAAATTCCTGTTACATTACTTATTTTTGATTCAACATATAAACAGTTTCCATAACATATGTAGGGTGCAGATTTCATTTCAATTATATATTTTTGATTTCAATAGAAGATTTCACTAATGAACTCACTCTTCTTCTTGGCATAGATATTGTAAAGGTCCAACATATTTTCACCAGGAGGTGAGAGATTGAATGTTACCCATGTGTTATCTTTAGCAGTTCCAGGTTGTGATGGAATTTTTGCGTCAGAATATTTTCTATTAGTGTCACCAATTTGAACTGAATTGTCTATGATATCGAAATATGAGCGAATCTGATGAATATGCTCTGCTGGAGTAAATTCGTTTAGCTGTTCGTTCTGCATGTATTTACTTCAGATAAAAATATCTATTTACTTCATTATTCTCACTCTTCTTCTTGGCATTCGTGGTGGAAGTTGTTTCTTGACATTTTCAATGAACTGTACATTCTCTTTTGTCTCAACTTCTTTCACTGGCGGGTCAGGATTCTTTGACTCGGTTTGTTTTTCAATGAAATTCACGAACTTTGCAATAAGCTCTTGGTTCGTTATTGAAAGTACATCTGGCTTCTTTTCTTCTGGTTCTATTGACTTTTCAGTTTGAATAGAAGGCTTAACATGGGCTTCGCCCTCGGTGCCATGCACCTTAATGTGTCGCTTTCTGCATTCGCTAATGGAACCTTTCTTTTTCTTACGTATATTTTACCATCTTTACTCTGACTTACGTAATAGAAAGGATGTTGTATTCCTCTGGCGTCATTTAATATAATAGACTCTCGCTCTGATTTTGACAAGCTCATTTTACATCGGTTAAAGTTTTAATTTTGTTTTTTATCTGCAGTCAAATGACTCAGACAAGCCCTACGGACAAGACCCAAGGGGTCATAGATGTTGAAGCATTGAAGAAAGAAATTCGTGAGCAAATTTTATCCGAACTGAAGGAACAAAAACAAGAACAAAAGCCAGAGAGACCAAAGAGAAAACTTAGTGAAAAACAACTTGCTGCATTAGCTGCTGGAAGACAAAAGAACCCACGTTTGCTGGCGAAGAAAGCTAGAGAAGAAGCTGAAGCAAAAGCTAAAGAAGCTGAAGCAAAGAAAGAGTAAATGGTTTATTTTTATCCGAATTAAATGTATAGACAAATACCTTTATCTGTTGCGTTCAGTAGTGAAAACCCTGACGTCAAAATAAAGGGGAACAGAGTAACGTTTAAGTTTCCAACAGACTGGATTGTGAACATAAATGAAGAGAAGTACATTGGCATAACATCTATGTATATAACACGTGCTTTCAGAAAGGTTGACTTTATACTTCAAGTCGAGATAGAAAATGACGAACAGTCTTTAAGCGCCCAAAACATTCACATATACAAATACTTTAAAGACGATACAACATTGTTGCAATGTATGATTTCATTTAATGAGATGTTCGAGAAAAAGTTCAACATTGAAGTACAAACTTTACAGCCTTTACGTGAGTTTCTTGCACAACTGAAAGAAGAAGGTAGTCGCCACAACTTATAGACTTTCATTATGAATTTAATGAAAATGAAGATGGAACTCATGACTGTCAGTTTGTTATATATTCACCATTCAATGAAGTAGCTAAAAAGAAAGAAAATCCATTACGTATAAGATTTCAAATCTCTGAACCAAGTGATGATTTCAAGAATGTTTTCAATTATGATGCAATGCTTCCGAGGAAAAATGAATTTTCAAAGATTGTAACACCTGGCATTTGGGATAGAAAGCAAGCTATATTATATTCAAACTTAAGTAAGGGAGTTGAAAATGAGTTCATTGGTCATACAAGAACTTCACCACTTCCTAACCCTAAATACTATAAATTAACTGGCTTCAATCGTGAGTTTTGGATAGACATGTTCTCCACTCATGACCATAACTGCCCAGTGTTCTTACCTCCAGACCATAAGGACTGTCTCTACATTGAAGCACAACTCTTAAACTCTACCATCGCAGTATTGTAAAATCTACGCTAGTTTTATTTTTTTCTGAAAATTTTATTTGAGTGAAAGGCATGGAAGGTGAAGGACATTGGCAAACACTCGAACATGACAATGACTATGAAATCTTTTCAGAGTACCCTTATCCAATTAGACGTATAAGCAATAAAAGAGTTGTTAGTGAGTTTGACCAAGGAGATGGTTATATTTGTGTAAATTTAAACAAACACAAGCTGATGAAACATAGAATAGTTGCAGAAACTTTCATTCCGAACCCTGAAGGACTTCGTGAAGTAGACCATATAAACAGAGACAGAGGAGACTTTCATATCTCGAACTTAAGATGGACGACAAGAAGAGAAAACATGAGAAATATTTCTGGTTCAAATGGCTATTGGTTTGACATTGTTGACTCTCTTCCTGAAGACGCTGTTGAAATTATACAATACTCATATCACACGTTAGAGAACTACTACTATGTCCCAAGTGAAGATGCCTTTTACTATTTCATGGGAACTCAATACAGACGAATGAATGTCTTAAGACAGTATAACAAAGATTATATAAACATTACAGATGTAGAAGGAAGAAGAACAAAGCTGTCTATTGCAAAGTTTAAGAGAGACAATGGTTATACATAAATGACAAAAATATATGACCTCATGGGCTTCGCCCTTGCCGCTAGCGGCTTATTTTTATCACGAATGACCTCATTGCTGACAAAAATAAATGACCTCAGAACTTCAACTTACGAATAAAGCTTGTTTTAGTCGTTATTGAGAAGTTAAACTTTCTTCAAAGCAAGGTTGACATGACTTACATAAGTCAAATCCAATCTCTTGACCGTCATAAGTGCTTTGTAAAGTTTCATTAAACTGAACTCAGAGTCTTTGTCATATGTTCCAACAGGTATGTGAATGTTCTTATCTTCATTGTAATAGCATTGTATAGCTTCAGGAAACATTTCATTTGCTGTTAAAGCAAGGACGTCTTGTTTGACACCTTTGCAACGTGCATGGAATGCAACTTCATTTAAATCGTTAGTGAGTAAGTCTATGTAGGTCTTCTTTCCACAAAATATTGACTTGTATGCTAAACTTTGTTTTCCAGGTGTTATTTCTGCGAAGTCAGAATGAAATTGACCAAGGTTCTTTCCTATAAGTTCGCGACCGTATCTCTTCTTAAACTCTGCTGCAAGCTTTGGTATGTCTTCATTGAAAATATGCATGCTATCACAGTCCTGGTAAAATATTTGAAGTCCCATATCTTCAGCAGTACAGAATACTTCACACATTATTCTCTTCGACATAGATAGATATTAACACCAAGTGGACAGAAGTTAAAGTGTCTGCAAATGCTTTTCGTTAGCTTGAAAATAGTTTTATCTGAACCATCCAAACCTTCGAACTTCACTATATGGTTGTAGTTTCTGATGGCATATCTTATAGCATCTTTGTCATTTACTATGGTTATTTTTGACTCAATAGGAGATAGAATAGTTTTGCCATAAATACTGTTCAGAATGAGCTTTATATTTTCTTGCAAAGGATTTCCTTCTTTCTTATACTTTAACCTTAACTCAAACAACTTCTTTACTTCATCTCTTATTCTAATATCTCTGTTTCCATCGTAATAGTATCCTTGCAACACTTCACATTTGACACCTTGATATTTTATGAGGTCTTGTAATGTTATATGGTCAACATACATTAAACAGCAAGTGTTTGAACTTCTGGGAACG